TGCCACCACAGCAGGGAGTCCAGCATGTCCCTTGGGGCGGTCACTACCAAGTCCAGGGCGTCCCTGCCTGGGCGGTACACCCGAGCAAGCCACGCCTGCAGAGTCCTGAGTCTCAGTCTGGCATGCCTGACCACGTGCGTGCATGCTGCCATGTGGCCCAGCAGCCGCAGGCAGCACCTGGCCGTTGTCGTCGTAAACTAGCGCAGGGAGGCCACCGCTTGCTGGATAGCCTGGAATCGGGATACTGGAAGGCTTGCCCTGGCCTGCACCGCGTCCAGGACTGCCCCTATGAATTCCACTTTCTGCGTGGGTACGAGCGTGGACTTGGGGACGTTGACCAGGTGCCCCAGCTCGCGGAACAATCTCAGGCCCACCTCCACATGGCCCCGCACTTCCGCCTTGGATCAGCCCACCAGGAGCCAGTCGTCATGGTATGGGTGCACCCGGATTCTCTACCTCCGTAAGAAGGCCATCGCCAAGCACTTCATGAACACCCGTGGGGCCGCAGCTAGACCTAATGGGAGAATCACAAACTGGTAATGTTCTTGGCCCACAGTGAGGCGTAGGAACCGCCAATGTGCTGGGTGGATGGCAATATGAAAGTACGCGTCCTTCATGTCGAGGGCAGCGTACCAGTCCCCTGGATCCAAGGAAGGGATGATGGTGCCCAGAGAGACCATGTGGAACAGGGCCTTGACCAGGAACTTCTTGAGCCCGCGCAGGTCTAGGATGGGGCGAACACCCCCTTTGGCCTTGGGGATGAGGAAGTACCGGGAGTAGAGCCCCTTCCCCCTTCGGCTGTGCGGCACCACCTCTACCGCCCCCGCCTCTAGCAGTGAGTGGATTTCCTTCTCTAGGAGATGCTTGTGAGAGGGGTCCCTGAAGAGGGACAGGGAAGGGGGGTAGGAGGGAGGCAAACTGCAGCGAGTACCCATTCTGCACCGTGTGTAAGACCCAGCGATCTGACGTAACGGTGGACCACACTCAGGAGAAACGGGACAGGCAGTTACATAAACAAAGGGACAGATCCGGTGACTGGTCTGGTATGCTGTCCTCGAGCGCACCTTCAAAAGCCTGGCTTAGTGCCCGGCTGGGGTTTGTGCTGGCCTTGGTTCTGGCCCGGCGCATTATTGTTACTGTTGTTGCGCTGTTGCCTGTTATCCCTGCCTCACCTACGGTAAGGCTCATGCCCATGGCAAAGCAGGTACTGGTGTTGAGGGGGAGGCTGCGGCTTAAAGGGCTTCCTCTGGGTCGCCGGGGTGTGCATACCCAGCGACTTAAACGTAGCTCGCAAGTCCTTAAGGCTGTGCGGCCTCGTGTCTGTCTGGTCCGAGAAGAGTCCAGAACCTTCGAAGGGGAGGTCCTGGAGTGAATTCTAGACCTCGAGTGGCAGGCCTGACTCCTGGAGCCATGCCGAGTGCTTCATGACCACCCCGACGCGACTGTTCTAGCCGCTACATCTGCCGAATCCAGGGAGGCCTGGAGAGAGGTCTTGGCTACTGCCTTGCCCTCGTCCACCAGGGCCGTGAACTCCTGTTGGGAACCTTGTGGTTGTCCTTAAGGTTGTCCTTAAACCTCCCCACCACTGCCCAAGAGTTGAAATTGTGCCTGTTGAGGATAGCCTGGTGGTTCGCAATCCTTAATTGAAGGCCCCCAGATGAGTACACATTTCTGCCAAAAAGGTCCAGGCGTTTCGCCTCCTTGGCCTTAGGGGCTGGGGCCTCCTGTCCATGGCGCTCCCTTTCGTTTACCGCTGAGACCACTAGGGAGCATGGACTCGGGTGGCAGAACAGAAACTCAAAGCCCTTAGATGGGGCAAAGTATTTACGCTCCACTCCTTTGGCCGTTGGAGCGCTGTGGGCCGAGGTCTGCCATATGGTCTTATAGTTGGACTGAATGGTCTTAATGAGTGGGAGCGCTATTCTGGATGGACCTTTGGGGCTTAAAATGTTCACCATGGGGTCCTCCTGCTCAACCATCTCCTCAGCCTGCAACCCCAAGTTCTGGGCGACCATATGCAGGAACTCCTGGGGGGCTCTATGGTCTACCGGTGAGGGCCGGACACCTCTGTACCCGCCACCGCCTCATCCAGGGATGATGAGGAGATGAGCTACTGCTCAACCCCCTCTGGTTGGTCCTCCTGCTCCCCTCCTCCCATGGGAGGGGCCTCCGGCTCGGGCCGGGACTCCATAGGACGGCAAGAGATTCGGTGCTGGTCTCTCCGGTTTATCCTGGGGGGATGCTGGAGGCCTGGATACTGTAGCCTCCGGCACCGTCTGGCATCGGTGCGGCAACCGGGACCGCTGCACCAAGTAACTTGCCCTAGACAGGGACCCTTGGTGCTCCTGATAGGCCCAGGGGGTCCAGAAGGGCCAATGGCCTGGCGGCCCCCATTGGTGTTGCCAGCCCACCTGAGGGTCCCTGCTGTCTGGGGCCCAGTGCGGGTAGCTATAGTGGCCGGAGTCTGCACCGGATTGTGGCGACGCTGATCACAAAGGCCACGGCAGTACCAATGATCTGCGCCAGCAGGAGAACAAGAGGCTCCTGGCTGAGAGGGAGCAGTACCGGTATCCCTGGGACCTGGACCGGGACCATCTGCAGGAGTCCTCTGGCGAGGGCCGTCTCAACTCCTCCCGGTGACAGTCTCTGGGTGGTGCCGGAGAGCAGTGTGCCCTTTCCAGTGCTTCCTTGCACCGACTCACTCCCGGTGCTGCAACCTCCTTCTGGGCCGCTAGCAACTGTGAGTCCGCAGAGTCGGAGCTCAACCAGGACCAACTCTGGGAGCAGTGCCGGGACGGTGTCCTCGAGCGGCACACCATTGCCAGCTTACCCCTCGATGGCACCCAAGGCATGGGTGCCAGAGGGTTCTCCCCATACGGGAGGGGGCTCGCCGCCAACAGGTCGATGAGGTCCTTTGCAGCCTCAAAAGGTGGCAGGTGTAGAGGGCTGATCCGTTATGCCCTCGAGCCCATCGTCCACACTGAGCTTACTTAGGTCTGGGCTCGGTGGGGCTTGTGCTGCCGGGACCGCCGGTGTCGGCACCAGTACCACAGCCTTCCCGCTCTGATCGGCGCTCGGGGCCTTGGAAGGCGCCAGCCTCCTGTGCGGAGCACGACTGTGCCTTCCTTTCGGCTGCACCGGGGGCTGCACCGGGGAGGACGAACGGTGCCAGGACCTAGCCTGGCGCTCTGGGGCCGACAGTTTACAGTGCTTAGCTGGTGCCGGGGCACTACGCACCGAGGAAGCCTTAGCTGGCGTCGGGCGCTCTGGGCCCGGTGGCTGCAATGCAGCCTCCATCAACAGCTGCTTTAAATGAAAGTCTCTTTCTTTCCTTATTCTTGGCTTAAACGCCTTGCAAATCCTACACCGTTCAGTTTGATGTCCATCCCCCAGGCAATGTAGACACGAGTTGTGGGGGTCACTAACTGGCATAGGTTTGCAGCACGTGGCGCAAGCCTTGAAGCCGTGGGCCTGCGGCATGCCTGGGGTGGGTGCTCGAAGCCTCCAAGCACCTAATCACTAAAGCATCCACAATAAAGGTATGTTAACTAACTGATAACAGCTACTCTGAAGGCTAAGGGACTGCTCTTCTAGAGAGAGAGAGAGAGAAGTTGTTCCAACGCCACCACGGACCGTAAGAAGGAACTGGAGGGGGTCGGGCCAGCAGGGGTATATACGCACGGCACAGTGGCGCCACTGGGGGGGCCCACAGGGAGCCGCTAAGGGAAAACGTTTCCAACGTTTGGGCACACAGCGCGCGCACACCTAATGTGTAATGGACGTGAACAAGCCCTCGAAGAACTTAACATTGTTACAAATATCCAAAGCATCCTCACCAACAACCTTTAAAAATGGATGATTTCACTTCATAATTTTTGGCCTCTGCCTCTGTGGCTGCTTAAGCAAATCTGTTGGAATTTTTTTCAGTTCTTTGAAGCATTGCCTGTCAACTGCAGACTGGATGGAGGTTGCAACACATCCAGTTTTGGCTTTCTTCCCTTCTTAAGCTAGTTGAGCTACTTTTGTGCTCATAAAATACATACAATAGCCTTTATTCTTCTCTATTTGCTGCTCCACGTGTTCCCCTTTCTGTTTCAAACACAGGAGTAAACCTCAAAATTATTAGTGTCTCATTTTCATATAGCACTTCTGACACCATGTAATAATCTTGGGGTTCTCATTAAACAGAAAATCAGTGAAAGAGATAGGAATACAAATTTTATTAAAAACAAACTAGAGAGCTTCTAGTGGTGGATTGCTGGGCACAGCTACACTGTGTTCTCCACCCCTGCTTCCTAGACATTTCTCCAAATTCCTATATTCATAATACTGACCCTTATGACTGAGCCCCTCTAAAGTAGAATTTTGCACAAACCTATCTCTACAACTGCCACATTTATGTCCTTAGAATCCTCAGAACCCTAAGCAAGGAAGCACAGAAGTAAAGCAACAGAAAACCAGGGTGGATGAGGGCAGCATGAGTTACTGCAGAGCATATTACCTAACATAACCCAGTAACTAACTGAAAATGGGGCATTTTCTCTTCCTTGACTTAATACCAGAAGATGGAAATCCAAGTGATACTGCAGGAAAAACAGCACCTGACAATCCCATTCTTGATTCAGATCACAGGAGGGATGGAAAATGATGGCAACTATCTACTGACTTGCAGATGAAGCTAGAGAAAGCAGCTTACATAGAAAGGATAAGAAATATAATACTACTGACAAGCTGCAGTGTACAGAACAAAAGCCTCATTTTATTAAGTGCTGCTGTTTAGGGAGACAAGCCACACTGTAAATTGTACTGAAAAATGCATTCTTCTGCTCACAGATCTAATTCCCATTCCCTCTGCTCACAGCACTCAATTTAAAATATGAGCATTCATTACAATAGGACAGATTAAAATAGAAGAGGGACATAACATTTATTGCTATTTATAATGCCTACTATATTTTCATTATATTAACAAAATGTCATTTTCATGCACAATAACATACCCAGAATAGAAGGCAGCCATAGGCATACATGTCAGAGGATGGAGATGCCAGATGTCCCATTCTTAATTCAGGGGAAATTAAGTTCAAGTTACCAACTACCATAGAGTTCGCAGAGGCACGTTGATCCTAGAAGGGACAACATTACAATCAGCAATTTTAAGCCGAACTGGCAATCCAGTAAAATGAACATTCCTTCCCATTCCCCATGATCTCACAGGAACACCTTTGCCTTACATTTCTTCCTTCAATGATGGCCCAAACGGGATTGTAAAGGCCTCCTACTACGAAAAATGGAGCAGAGGGGGAATAAAGGCAATGAAGTATCACTCTTAAAACACAGGACTAGGTGATTCTTGCTCACACGTCATGAAAAATAACAATTCTAATACCAGGTTTCGGAGCAGCAGCTGGGTTAGTCTGTATCCGCAAAAAGAAAAGGAGTACTTGTGGCACCTTAGAGACTAACAAATTTATTTGAGCATAAGCTTTCGTGAGCTAAACTACACATGAAAAGATACTCCAGTACCATGAGAAACGACTGCGATGTTAAGGTTGAAATAAAGAAAATTTGAAAAGCTACTGTCTAAGCCATTCTAGACACAGACATAACTTTGATAGAAACATACAACTCCAGAACAAAGGGTAGGTAACCACAAAGCAGATTAACAGACTACAGAATACAAGACCCACTTATCAAAAATGTAATTTGCAGAAATTTGAAGAGGTATGTAGATATCCAGCTGGCTGCCTTATTGTATATAACTCTAGAGGGGCAGCATTCCTTCTCAGCCCAGAGAAGGAAGGTGGGCCTTGCAGTAAAGCACTGGACTGGGACTCAGAAGAACTAGGTTCTAGTCTCATTTCTGTCAGGCTTCCTGCTTTTTCTGTCTCAGGTCCACATCAGAGTCAGTTGCATGTCTCCTCCTCCTCCGCCTGGACTCCAGGATTAGCTAGAGCACAGCAGAGACAATTCCTGCTCTCAGTTCTTGTGCCCAGCACAAGACTCCATGAGTGCCAGGAGTAATAACTGCAGCTCCTGCAGCCCCTGGATGGAACATGGTCAGTGCAGACACAATCTTCAGGGAATTTAGCTGCCACTGTTGGAGACTGGATACTGGACTAGACAAACCAAGACCTGGACAAGGCTGATCCAATACAACAATACCCATGTTCTTTTTTAACTGCTTTGCTGAACCAGGGCCATACTCAGTAAAGATCATATTTTTTCAGGTTATAGTGCCTATAGAAACTTATTCCACCAGTACTTATAACACTATATTGGAATTATTCAGAATCATTGCATACACCATGCTTTCACATTTGAAGTAGTATGCAAAATACACTGGCAAATGAAGAATTTGTCAATAAAACCTACCTTTAAATTGTCACAATAAGGGGTACCAAAAAAAATAGCAAAGGCATTCACGCTATAACTCATAATGAAGAATTCTGAGTGAGATTAAGGAAACCCCTGAATATATTTGAAAAAAAAAAATTACCACTGATTTGGTGAAGTCAAAATCTCCAACAATTCCTTGTTTTCGATTCAGAGCAAACACATTATTTGTATGCAGAGATCCATGAACTATATTAGCTTTGTGCAGCGTATGCAGACCACGAGCCACTCCTTCCATCACTTTCAATATTTCCTGATGAAAAGAAGAAATTTTAGAAACTGAAGGAGCCAAGTGAAAAAAAACTCAGCATGCTTCCACTGCAGAACCATTGCAAGTATTCTGAATGGGAAACTACACAACACTTAGTAAGATTCTGAAGAGTTGCAGAGCCAGTCAAAAAAGAACCCAGGCACACCTGAATTAATCATTTTTAACACACAATGTAAATACCCATTTGGATATATGGATTCATACCTGGCTCTGTCCTGACAAGCAATGCAAGAGAAAAAGCCATTCACAAAATTTATGACCACTTATTTAAAAAGAAGGCTATGCGGCCAAATGGCTTGTTTACAATTGGAAGTCATTTTGGGGAAGGAAAGGTAAGAAAGAAAATGACAAGAGTAATCATGATCATTTTAATCATGATTAGAATTTGCTTGCCAATATTTTTTAAAGGATAGCAACAACAACAAAGGCTGGAATATTGAAAGGAGCGTGAGTTAGGTCCCCTCCTCCAGGGTCCTTTGAAAATCCCAGCCCCAGTGACTGGACACTAAATTGAGGTATTCATAAAAACACAAACTGGCCTATTCCTTTGCAGGGTTTTCTCAACAGTGCTCACCGTGAATGCAAGTTACGTTGCCATATCACTGGCCAGCAAAGAAAAAGGTGAAATAAGAGAAGAGAGGATCAAGTTGGTTTAAATATTTGTTGAAAAACTTTGCTGAGATTTTGAATAAATTACCCTATTACTTACTTCTGAAGTTAAAGGTGTACTAGCTTGCAGTGCTCCTAGACTTGCTCCTGGGTAATATGGGACCATCAGATATACCAAAGGATCAGACTTAAAAAACAAAAAAAACTCAAGGACAATAGACTGATAAAGAAGGGGATTTCAGTTAAAATATCTATTTACTGCAAAGTCAACATATAGCACATATTAAATCCTCACTAAACCAAATTAATTTTATTTGATTGCTTATGTAAATTCTGCACGGAAGTTTTTCTATGCAAAGCTTTGGTTAAAAAACAAAAAGCTTTAACAACAAATTATGAATCTTCTAGATGAAAAATAGCAATCAAAGAAGGATGTCAATCTGGAATTTACCTTGCACAAAAAAAGGAACATCAACTGTAATAATCCAGATTTCTCCTTAAATTCACTCCAAGCTCTGTGATATTTGGCTGTTCTTTCTATCACTTTTGCCTCTGTGTTCACATCTACAGAATAGCCCTGAAAACAAAGAATTTTCAGATGATTCCTAATTTAACGTTGTTAATGTGGAATTACTATATTTTATTTTTTAGAACAATTACAAGACAAATTCTATTGAGTGACCTCCTGTTACATCGTATTATAATGCTCAACCTGGGATCTGAGAGATAAGTCCCAAATTTTCTTTGTAAACGTTTAAATTGTTGGACTAGCAATACAGGTCCAGTGTTCCCATTGCGCAAACAGTATCATAGCCAAGTTAACGAGCAGTGTTTACACCAGTGGTGGGCAACCAGAGGCCCATCAGGGTAATCTGCTGGCGGGCCATGAAACAGTTTGTTTACATTGACCGTCCACAGGTGTGGCTCCGGTTTGCCGTTCCCAGAAAATGGGAGCTGTGGGAAGCAGCAACCAGCACATCCCTGAGGCCCGCACTGCTTCCCTCAGCTCCCATTGGCTGGGAATGGTGAACTGTGACAACTGGGAGCTGTGGGGGGCCGGGCATGCAGACAGTCTATGTAAACAAACTGTCTCGTGGCCCAAGAGCGGATTACCCTCAGGGGCTGTGTGCGGCCCATGGGCCGCAGTTTGCCCACCACTGGTTTACACTGTTCCACATTAACTTCATTACTTCTTGATCTCCCGAACGCTGGTGGGTAGGAGGGGGAAGCGTGGCAGTGGAAAGCAGAGGAGACACCTGGAAATCAGTAGGGAAGGTGTTAGTATGAGTAGGATGGAGACTGAAGTTGGTCCTGCTTCGAGCAGGGGGTTGGACTAGATGACCTTCAGGGGTCCCTTCCAACCCTGATATTCTAGGATTCTATGAATGCACCAAGAACAGGGAGTGATAGCCAGTAAGAGGAGGGCCCACTGACTCACAGGAATGGCAGTCAGCAAAAGGAAGGAACATGCTTGCAGCTGCTCCCAGAGAAGTGAAAGAGGAGAAGAGAGATGGAGACAAACAGTAAAAAACTAACACTGCTTTGGTTGTGATCCAAGAGTCTAGCCCGAATTAATTAGCATTTACAAGGGTACTACTGAAAGTAATAAAGAAGCAGTTACTGAGTACAAGCAGGTCAATATACTCTTTAAGTTACCAAGAGCTCCACATACAGATAAGAACTGAAAGTCAGTGACAGAAAATTACCTTTAAAAGAACCTTCTGTTCTTGAACTTCTGAACACACTAATGGGTGCTTCGTGCTCAATTTCTTCAGGGGTTCAGCGTCGAGGAGGTCCCGTTCTAAGCTGACTGTCAGAAGTCCACCAGAGTTCTGGAGTACACATGCAAACACAACTGAAATGCCACTAACTACCTAAATAATCCAGACACTGCATATATTTAAACCATCCTGGCATTGCTGAATGCTTAATATTTATCTGCCACCACGGATAATGCAGGACACTGACCATAATGTAAGGAAGGTCAAACTTAATTTAAACCTAAGTACTCTTTTTTAAAATAAAGAGAGATTCCATTTGGTGATTTTTTTCCTTCCCTCTGTGTTAAACATATTAACGTGACCTTCATTCCTTCAATGCACATAATTTGGATTTAATCTGTCAGTGTCATTTACATGAGCCACTGACCGGCCATCTACTTTATAGACATTAAAAACCTACGCTCCTGACATGCATAACACATGGTTTTTGTTTTCTCCTCCCTTCACCCTGCCCCAGACACTGCCAGTCTCAGCATTTCAAGCTGGGCCAGCATTTAGGTGTTACTGTTGGTGAATTAAACCATAACATGACCAGTAAAGCTGAATGTGTAATATAAGTAAATGAAGTTTGAACACCATATTTGAAATTATTTTCTAGTTACTGGCATGAGTGGGTGACATTGCAAGTGTGTGTGAGACAGAAGTCTCTTTGGGATGTGAATAATAAAATCTCTCACTTATTGTTTAAAGTTTTCATTTGGTCCATGACAATATGGAGATGGTATGATGGGATAACATGGTTTTGGTAATTAAATGTTCATGGTAAATAGGCCCAATGGCCTGTGATGGGTTTTTAGATGGGGTAAGATCCAAGTTACCCGGGAAAGAATTTTCTGTAGTATCTGGCTGATGAATCTTGCCCATATGCTCAGGGTTTAGCTGATCGCCATATTTGGGGTCGGGAAGGAATTTTCCTCCAGGGCAGATTGGAAGGCCCTGGAGGTTTTTCGCCTTCCTCTGTAGCATGGGGCACGGGTCACTTGCTGGAGGATTCTCTGCTCCTTGAGGTCTTCAAACTACAATTTGAGGACTTCAATAGCACAGATATAGGTGTGAGGTCTTTTTTAGGAGTGGTGGGTGAAATTCTGTGGCCTGCATTGTGCAGGAGGTCAGACTAGATGATCATAATGGTCCCTTCTGGCCTAAATATCTATGAATCTATGAATACGTTCAGTTGTTTAACTTGTAATCTGACTACTGCCCTTAAAGACTTCATCACTTACTAGAATCTTTGGCAGCTCTTGCTTTAAGGCATATTTAATGAAGCTACTTCCCTTACTCTCAAATACATACTCTCAGTTCCCTGCCCTTAGAAACACAGCAGGGGCTTCTTACCATATACTTCAGAATTCCTGCTTCCGGGTGAAGGAGTGGCAGCTCAGGGAACCATTTCTGTACCAGGCAAGTAAGCCTCTCCTGAATTAGGGATACATTCATCAATGCCGACCGCGTCCGCATGCAGTACATACAAGTATATACCAAAAAAATACATTAACTGAAGTTTGGACTGTATGCCCACAAAACATCGATTTCTGAAAATATGAAGAGTGGAATCTACCCTCTTCCAGTCACATCACTCAGAATGCAACTGGCTTTCACTTTTTCACAGCATCAGTACTATAACAGCCAAATTGGATGTATTTTTAAAAACAGGGTTTGTGTGGTAATTTTAGGGACTTCTGGATGCCCCCATCCTTTAGAAAAATATGATCCACCCCCTACCATAAACTGAGCTTCCTCATCAAAGTAGCAAGGGGAGGGCAGCTGGACTTACTCTCCTCTCCTTCCCCAACCTGAAGATAGTTCAGAGGACAAAGAAGGGGGAAAAACAGTTACTCAATTCTCGTAACTGTTGTTCTTCGAGATGTGTTATTCATGTCCATTCCAACCAGGTGTGTGCGCGTGCACGTACACGTTGACCGGAAGATTTTTCCCCAGCAGCATCTGTCGGGTCGGCCTGGGCACCCCCTGGAGTTGTGCCTTCATGGCGCCCAATATAGAGCCCGGCTGACCCAGTACCCCTTCAGTTCCTTCTTGCCACCTACTCTGACAGAGGGGTAGGAGGGTGGGTATTGGAATGGACATGAACACCACATCTCAAAGAACAACAGTTACGAGGAGTAACCATTTTTTCTTCTTCAAGTGCTTGTTCGTGTCCCTTCCAATCAGGTAACACCCAAGCCAAATTCAGGAGGTGGGGTCTGAGCTGTCCACTGATTGGAGTACTGCTCTTCCAAAGGCCGCATCGTCTCTGGACTGCTGGATGATTGCATAGTGCGCGGTGAAAGCGTGTATGGATGACCATGTCGCAGCTCTGCAGATTTCCTGGGTGGGAACTTAATCCAGGAACACCATCGATGAAGCCTGTGCCCTGGTAGAGTGCGCTCTGACTGGAGGCGCAGGAACCCGTTAGATTGTAGCACTCGCTGATACAGGCCACAATCCATGATGAAATGCGCTGGGCTGAAACCGTGACCTTTCAGCATGTCCGCCACCGGCACAAATTGTTGAACCGACTTCCTGAACAGTTTTGTTATCTTGATGTAAAAGGCCAGTGCTCTGCGGATGTCCAGTGTGTGGAATCTCTGCTCCCTGCTGCTGGAATGAGGTTTAGGGTAGAAAACTAGGAGGAAAATGTCCTGGTTGATGTGGAACTGCGACACAACTTTCGGGACGAAAGCAGGATGGGGCCTGAGCTGAACCTTGTCCTTAAAAAATACGGTGTAGGGCAGCTCTGAAGTTAGGGCCATGAGCTCAGACAGCCTCCTGGCCGAGGTTATCGCCACCAGGAATGCGACCTTGTAAGAGAGGTAGAGCAGGGAGCATGTTGCTAAAGGCGGGCCCCATGAGCCTAGAGACGGCCAAGTTGAGGTCCCAGGCAGGAACCGGTTGGTGCACATGTGGGTACAATCTGTCGAGCACCTTCAGGAAGCGGCTGACCAGGGGGTTAGCAAAAACCGAGCAGCCCTGTGCACCCGGGTGGAAGGCCAAGATGGCAGCCAAGTGAACTCTTACAGAAGGCAACAAGAGACCCTCCTGTTTCAGGTGCAGAAGATAGTCCGGAATGTGCGGCACTGAGGCTAGCATCGGGGGCGCATCGCGCTGCGCCGACCAGACTGAAAATCTCTTCCACTTGGCAAGGTACGTGGCCCTCATTGAGGGTTTTCTCCTGCAAATGAGGACCTGTCTAACCTGGTCTTAACCGGAAAGCTCTGATGGATTCAACCATGGAGTTTCCGTGCCATGAGGTGGAGCGACTGCAGGTTTGGGTGTTGGAGATGTCCGTGATCCTGTGTGAGAAAGTCTGGGAAGAGCAGCAAGGTAATTGGGGCTCCCACAGACCTGTCCAGGAGAGATGTGTACCAATGCCGACATGGCCAGGCCGGTGCTATCAGCATAACCCAAGCACGATCTATCGGCGGGAAGGCATACAGAAGAACCTCTCCCCAATGGAGGAGGAATGCATCTGCTATGGAGCCTGGGCTGCGATTCTGTCACTGACAGTGCTGGGGCTATGGGCGTTGGAACAGGCATCGGCATCAGTCCTACGGGAGGGAGCTGCGTCGGCACGCTCACAGGAACCACTGGAAGTAGGGGGCCCAGTGCCAACACTGGCACTGGGCCAAAGGTGCCTGCATCGAGGTCAATGTCGACAATGGTGCAGGCGTGGGAGACAGGTGCGTCAACGCCATGAAAGGCTGTGCCAAGGTCGGAGCCGAGCACCATGCCAGAGTCAATGACGGAGACTGAGGCAGAGGCATCGGGACCATAGGTGCCGAGGGCAAATGCACAGCAGAAGGTGGCAGAGGCAACGGAAGATGTTGCTGAGCATGGACCTGGTTTCATTCCTGGCCCTGGTGAAAAGCCCAGGGGGTCCAGAAGGGCCATTGAGGCAGGTTCTGCCACTGCAGAGGCCATGCCTGGGGCTCTCTTCTGTACCTCAACCTATGATTTCTGCTCCTACCAGAGCAATAGGAGTTGGACTCTGACTCCAAAGTCTCAGACACTGAAGACCATGGAGGAGCCGATCCTTGGTGCCTCCAACTCCAAAAGCGCAGGGAGCAGGTAGGCTCTCTGTCGGAGCAGGCAGGCGCCGAGGGACATGGCGAGGGGGAGCATCTCAACATTACAGGCGGCTTCCCCTTCAAATGCACCCGAGGACGCGGGTCCGCTGACACTGAGGGCTCCTCCCTGGCAGGCGAGAAAGATGCCGTCAGTTGGAGGAGGTCCTGAGCAGCCTGTTATGCTTCCGGCGTGGACAGAAGCTGCAGGTGCCGTGTAGGCACCGGTGATTGAGGCGGGGCCGGACTTAACTGCCGCACCTGGGCAGGAGTCAACACGGTCCCGAAAGGAGATCCTGAGTGGCAGCCCACCTGGGGTTGCACATCTCGTGGCTTCTCCGGAAAACAATCGTCTGGCTTTTTCTTCTTTTGAGCCACTGGTGAGTGGGAGCAGATCCTACTGTCAGACAGGCCCTGCGAGGAGCAGTGATGGTGCCGAGGGTCTCAGGAAGAGTCCTTTCTTGGCGCTGAGCTCGCCAACAGCGCTGGAGCACTCCACAACAAGGACGATGTAGAGGGGTCAGGTCTCCTAGTCCAGGTTGGAGTGGGGGCGTAGAGCTGCTGCCATAAGGATCACCTTGAGCCGCTGTTCCCTTTCCTTAAGAGTTCTTGGACAGAACTTGCAGCAGATCTTACAGTGATCTTTCTGATGGGTCTCCCCCAGGCGTTGACACAGTGAGTATGGGTCACTCTTCAGCAAGCACTTGGCACATGCCAAACATTTTTGGAAACCCAGGGATCACAGCATACCATGGCTCCTCGAACTGGAGTGGGGGGGGGACACACGCCCAACAAACACTATACTAAAAACTCTAAAACTAACAGCTAACTATATACAACCGGATAGAGAGTGAACTTGCTGAGCAAGAGCTAGGGGAACTTCCAGCCACCGTCACTGGCGGTAAGGAGGAACTGAGGGCGTGGTGGGTCGGCAGGGCTCTATATTGGGCGCCATGAAGGCATGACTCTAGAGGGCGCCCAGGCTGACCCGACGGATGCTGCTAGAGGAAAAATCTTCCAGCCATCGTGCCCGTGTACACACCTGATTGGAATGGACATGAACAAGCACTTGAAGAAGAACCCCAGTACCACCACCAGAGGCAGCCCAACCTCAGCAGGAGCAAGCAGGGGAAATCAGAAGCCAAGTGGCCAAACCTTAGAGTTGGTGAAACAGGCCACAGCTCTTGCCACCTCCAGCCACCCCAAACCTGTAACATTTAGGAGTTACTGTTACTCATGCTCAGCACTGCATTACCAGAGGTCCTGTTCCTGCCCTCCCCCTTCCTACTTCGAAAGAGGAGTGGCCACGGATTCTGGATTCCTCCCTCCAAACAGAGTATTTAGGAAGTGGGAGATCACTGGTGTCAGTCTTGCCTTCAACTTGGAGGAAGAACCTCCCTCTTCACTGTCCTGATCCTATCCTCCATATCACACAGATAAAGGCCTTCTTCAGCCACTGTAAAAAGAAAAGGAGTACTTGTGGCACCTTAGAGACTAACAAATTTATTTGAGCATAAGCTTTCGTGCCTCCGATGAAGTGAGCTTTAGCTCACGAAAGCTTACGCTCAAATAAATTTGTGAGTCTCTAAGTGCCACAAGTACTCCTTTTCTTTTTGCAGATACAGACTAACACGGCTGCTACTCTGAATTCAGCCACTGTGCTGCCTGATCATCTTCCTATTGCTCTGCTGAGGGGACTGGACCTCACACTTCCAGATTTTTGTCTACCATTCACTTTGAAAAAAGCTATATCAGGTGGAAAAGAGGAAAAAGAGATGATTATCTCCCTCCACCTCAGAGAGTACTATTTCATTTCAGAGGCTTTAGTGAATATGAGTGTGTCTTTAGTCTCTTTCCATTCAGTACTGTAACATTCATTCTTTAGATTTTACTGAGAATGAATGTATATAATAAAGCAACTGAAATGTAAATAGGTTTCAGAGTGGTAGCCGTTTTAGTCTGTATCAGCAAAAACAACGAGGAGTCCTTGTGGCTAACAAAGAGACTAATAAATTTATTTATATAACAAATTTTATAACAAATTTATTTATTTATAAATGTATATGTAAATGCAGCTCATATAAACTACATAGTTTAAGCTGCTTACATAACTGATACTTACATATTCTTCTTGTTCATTGTATATTTCCTGAATGAGACTATTTCTCAGTCCAGTGATTTCTTCTTTTATTTTTGTTATTTCATACTCACTGTAATCATCAGACTGAATGCAGAAACAATAAAATTACCATCGTATATGTCTCTCAAGAAATTATCATACTATATAATGTAACCTAGTACATAAGACCTAAAAAGTAGCTTCCATATCACATAATAATTTGAGAATGCAGTTTATTCTCAAAAGTATTCTAGGATGAAGGAAAGTTACTAACATCATCAGACCTCTTTTTTTGCTTTTCTAAATTATCTATTTGCTGTAATTTTCTTCATTCTCCTTTTTGGAAATCCTCTGGACACCAATAAAATCTAATGATTAGAAAGGGCATTCAGTTCACCCAGGTGGGTAGTCTAAATTATTGTTACAATAAAATTAGGGGTTTGAATGACTGGACAAGATGCTACACTAGATTTAGATTTTATCTGAAAGTTCCTGGCCACTGGCTTCATTTTAGAAATAAACTTTACAGAACCTGGACAGGAAGAGAGATGAAAAAATCAGACTGGAGGGTGTGTGTTCACTTCAGTAGCACACACTGGAGATCCGTCTCTCTTTCTCTCTGAGGAGGAACTTTTTTTTTCCATAGGATTCCTATAATTTTTTTTAAACCATTCTCTATCAGATACATTACTAGAACTTTTGAGTCCGATTTTCAGACCCAGAGCAGGCACACTGGCCTAGAAAGACATGTGAGGGACACACAAACATTGAAAAAAGAAAAGGAGGACTTGTGGCACCTTAGAGACTAACACATTTGTTTGAGCATAAGCTTTCGTGAAAAAAAATTCCATCACACAAAATTTCAGTGAAATCTACACAATTTCAAGAAACCTTTTGGTTTTGACTAAACTGCATTTTCTGACCAACTCTAATTTTAAATCAGTTTGGTGTCCTCTCTCATTCTCCTAAAACTTGTTAGTACTTCTACACATTTAGAAGATCCAACCTGTCCTTGATATCCTGACAGTGAAAACACTCATCCATACCCTAAACATCTCTCATCTCAACTGTTACCTCTACCTTTCCTCTCTGATCTCCACCCCGTACATATCACCATCCAGTCCACCCAAACGTGACAGCTAAAAGTATCTTCCTAGCCCAATTAAACTACATCACCCTTTGAATTTTTCCATTAGCCTCTACTAAAATAAATGGAAATAATCTGGTAACAGATTTACCAGATCAGTTCTTCTACTGATCTCACATTCAAAAATATATGAGCTGCACCTATCTTCCTGCAAATAACGAAGGCTAGAGAGTAAGACTTATTCTTGAGGTGCCAATGCTTGACTAAACCGCTTCTGCCATCTCTCCAGATGATGTGGGTGAGGTAATATCTTTTATTGGACCAATGTCTGTGGTGAGAGAGACAAGTTTTTGAGCTACACAGAGCACTTCCTCTGACACCTGAGGAAGAGTTCTTTGTAGCTCAAAAGTCTGTCTCTCTCACCAACAGACATTGGTCAAATACAAGATATTACCTCACCCACCTTGTCTCTCTAATATCCTGGGATGAACAACACTGCATACTCTCTCCAGATGACTATTTCCCAGTGTTGAGTGGAAACACTAAATTCTTATGAACAGATTAAATATAAGCTTCATGGTAAAGCCTTATTCCATTATATTACTGACATGCATGGAAGAGGCCATCACAAAGGATACTTGAAGGCCTTATCTTGAGTGGGACAAATTTGGGGGGAGAGGGCAATAAGGGAAAGGTAATACATTAACAATTGTCCATTCTGGATCTTACCCTCCCCTCCATGTGGGATGTAGCACTCTGTAAGGAAAAATTAGAAGGAAAGAGAAATGAGATTAGCCAAAGCATCTGTCCCCAGTGATCTTGTACCTCCTTCCCCACAGATGACTCTCGCTCTTGTGCTTGGATTAGATATAAATAGGTAAACGGGAGGAAGGTACCCCAACTACTTGAGTATAGCTGGAAAACTTCTTGGTTCAGTGACCATTTGAGTGGTTCATCTGTTGACTGCAGAGGTTGTCTGCTTGTGTGTTCAGCATCACTTTTATGTGGAATCTCTCTAATGGAGACATTCTGCTCAAAGAAGTCTGTGTGTTACTACAGTGTTTAAACTTGACCTCCTTGTGCTCCCTTGCCATTTTATGTATGTCATAGTCACTGAGTTGTTTAACTGAGCGAGTGCATGGTCCTCCTTCAGACGGTCCTGGAAGTCTCAAAGAATTAGCACCTCTCTGATCTCTAGGAATTAGTTTCTCAGGAGCCTCTCTGACCTTGATGAATCATAGAATCATAGAATATCAGGGTTGGAAGGGACCCCAGAAGGTCATCTAGTCCAACCCCCTGCTTGAAGCAGGACGAATTCCCAGTTAAATCATCCCAGCCAGGGCTTTGTCAAGCCTGACCTTAAAAACCTCTAAGGAAGGAGATTCTACCACCTCCCTAGGTAACGCATTCCAGTGTTTCACCACCCTCTTAGTGAAAAAGTTTTTCCTAATATCCAATCTAAACCTCCCCCACTGCAACTTGAGACCATTACTCCTCGTTCTGTCATCTGCTACCATTGAGAACAGTCTAGAGCCATCCTCTTTGGAACCCCCTTTCAGGTAGTTGAAAGCAGTTATCAAATCCCCCCTCATTCTTCTCTTCTGCAGGCTAAACAATCCCAGCTCCCTCAGCCTCTCCTCATAACTCATGTGTTCCAGACCCCTAATCATTTTTGTTGCCCTTCGCTGGACTCTCTCCAATTTATCCACATCCTTCTTGAAGTGTGGGGCCCAAAACTGGACACAGTACTCCAGATGAGGCCTCACCAATGTCGAATAGAGGGGAACGATCACGTCCCTCGATCTGCTCGCTATGCCCCTACTTATACATCCCAAAATGCCATTGGCCTTCTTGGCAACAAGGGCACACTGCTGACTCATATCCAGCTTCTCGTCCACTGTCACCCCTAGGTCCTTTTCCGCAGAACTGCTGCCTAGCCATTCGGTCCCTAGTCTGTAGCTGTGCATTGGGTTCTTCCGTCCTAAGTGCAGGACCCTGCACTTATCCTTATTGAACCTCATCAGATTTCTTTTGGCCCAATCCTCCAATTTGTCTAGGTCCTTCTGTATCCTATCCCTCCCCTCCAGCGTATCTACCACTCCTCCCAGTTTAGTATCATCCGCAAATTTGCTGAGAGTGCAATCCACACCATCCTCCAGATCATTTATGAAGATATTGAACAAAACCGGCCCCAGGACCGACCCTTGGGGCACTCCACTTGATACCGGCTGCCAACTAGACATGGAGCCATTGATCGCTACCCGTTGAGCCCGACAATCTAGCCAGCTTTCTACCCACCTTGTAGTGCATTCATCCAGCCCATACTTCCTTAACTTGCTGACAAGAATACTGTGGGAGACCGTGTCAAAAGCTTTGCTAAAGTCAAGAAACAATACATCCACTGCTTTCCCTTCATCCACAGAACCAGTAATCTCATCATAAAAGGCGATTAGATTAGTCAGGCATGACCTTCCCTTGGTGAATCCATGCTGGCTGTTCCTGATCACTTTCCTCTCATGCAAGTGCTTCAGAATTGATTCTTTGAGGACCTGCTCCATGATCTTTCCCTGTGCCCCATGGTGTGTCAGCCACCTGCAACATCAATATCCACGGTAACAATTTTGGATTCTGGATTGTGGAGGAAGGATGCTACCATCACATGGATTTGCTGTTTCCACCAACTTAGGGACCTGATCACTGTATGGTATCCTCACATTCCCTTCCATCTCCTGTTGGAAACTGTTACAGGCCTTTAAAATCAATCCTTTAACCTTTCTAGTGCAGCTTTACCCAGGGAATAACCCCTACCGCAAAGAGATTGGAAACCCTAGGAGCTGGTACGGATGAATACACATGGTATTCCTCGACACCCAGGAGATCAGTGCCTGAATCTTGTAACCCTTTCCTGTGCTATGTTCATGCTGTCTCTGCATCAAGCCTGGCAGATGGTTCTCTGAAAGGGAATCAGAGAGCTCTTCTTTAAGTTTGACACAGACAAATGTCCCTACAGCATGCAGCTCTGGTTAGGTTGCTTCTTGTAAGATTGTACGAGGTAACTATTTAGTTTAAGAAAAGATGCACCTGAGTCCCTAGACTCCTCAGACAGGACACTATCTCTCTCAGTAGATTTGTTAACATTCTGTGTGTGGAGGGTAGACCGCATGGTAACACTTTATACTGACAGTGGCTATTTTTATAAGCATCCTGAAGGAACTGCGGGTACCAGGGCCTTCCACGACTATGCAGATAAGCTCCTGCCAGGTCCATTATCAGCTCTCCGAGGGAGAGTGTAGCAAAAGGGAAGTGAAAGTCTGCATCCTGTATTCAGTCTTCTCCTCCAATCCACTCAGCCTCTTAAAGTCTAACTGCACCTGGACTCAGTCAGTTCTTTTTCTTTCTGTGAAGAAGAGATTAGAGCCCTTGACTTTTTTGCTCTGAGGAACAGCCTCTGTTGCAAATAATTCTAGAAGGTGTGAAATTTCCTTGAGGGTGCTTGTCACTGTCTATTGAGGCTGGAAAGAGTGGAAAAGAAAGGATGTGCAGGAGCCTGAAGCTCCAGAATACAACACAAGATACTTTTTCACTAATACACCCTCCAGCATGGGACAACTTGAACCCCTGGGTACTAGAGACCAGGGGGGGGGCAATGCCCCCCCATTTAAACAGGGGGACAAGCCCCCACCTTTTGAGAATCAGAACTAGGCAGAGGCACACAACATGAGGGGGTCCCCACCCCTCCCCAGCTGGCCTCTCACCAGATCTGAGTGGTGTAACAGACGAGCCCCCTCCCTGCTGGCATAATGGAGAGGCAGCCAGACCATATCAGAGTGATATTGCAACCTGGCACATGGGGTCACAAGAGCACTTAAATTTGGTTGTAGTTTTCTGTGCTACTGCTTGAACCAGGAGTCTAAGAAGTAGGATGATCCTGCCTGATGGCCTGCATGCTGGATGGAGGTTGGCGCTCAGATGCAGACATACTGACTTTTTGGACTGGTAGGAGTTGGCACCTGACTACTTAGTTTGTTCTCATAACTCTTGCTGCCAGCCTCACAGAACTGATGGCTCTATCCTCCATGAACACATCATCAGGGATATTTTATCTAGTACTGACATGTTTTTTGTTTGTTTGTTTGTTTTTGGGGGGGGTCAAAGCTCTTTAAGGGCATCCCATCAAAATACTGAGGCTGCACAAAGCACGCAATGACCAATGAGACTCAAAGGGCTATGCTAACATTTCTAATTCTCTTCTAAGGGCAGCTTCCATCTTCCTGCCTGAAGGTATTGAAGACATCTCCCCTTGGCAGAAATTAACATGTCCTTTACAGGGACACCACAGCTGAGGAAGTATGAAGAGAGAATCTTGGAATTCTAGAACCTGGAAGGCTATCAGACTCAGCCTCTTCCCTTTGTTGGCCTTTTTCCAGCTCTTCCTTGTGATCTTCTTGAAGGAGAAATAAGGAGATAGCAAATTATTAGTTTTGAATTGAAGAAATATTACCCTTTTCACGTCCTCTTTCTCCGGCTAGATGTCAGTAGTGCCCACCGACCTTCAGGCCAATCTTCAAGCACATCTGTTCCTCGGTGTTGTCCTGATCCAAAACTAACAGTTCCCCTACTTCAGGGTCCCCCAAGGAGCTGAAGACCTGCTGTGCTTGTTTCCTGTGTTATTTTAAGCCTTTTTTGGATTTCTAGTGTATTTTGCAGAGCAAGAATCCCCAGAGGATCAGTCTCTCCTAGCCTAGTGTTCTCTTTGAAGTCTTAGCCTGGGCAACGACAATTTGTTTTGAGCCCAGTTGTGCCTCATCATGTAATACAGAACTGAGGAGGAAGTGGAGGGGACTGCCCCTAAGAGATCCCAAATCCTCCTCTTGGGAAGAACAACTGTCTGAAAGGATGACGGATCCCTTGACTGACGACTCAATTAACCCATTAAAAACCTGAGATGCAAACCTGAGATTTTTTTCTCCCTTTGAGGGAGACTGGACTAGGGGTGACTTAGTGCCTTACCCTTGAAGAACTCTTAATCAGTGACAACACTGATCTCTCCAGACTCCCAAGAGCTGAGTAGGACCAAGCAGTGGAGGTGTTTCTGGGGGAGTTCTGGCTGGTGTTGTGAGACACAGAAGCCTCAACAAGCTGTCTATAAAGAGCCTTTTCCTCCTGACTCGGGGAGGACTCTGGGCTGGGAGCAATCACCTCAGAACTTCTCTTCTGTGGCTCCACTGAATATCTTCTTGCAGACAGACAACGAGGTTGATCTTCAGCTCGATTCCTTTGGCCAGCTCTGCCATGCTGGAAGAAAGGAGAATTAACAGAAGAAAGGTGCATGGCAAGTGATGCTATTCAGAGAAATAAGGCCCTGAAATTTTGGCTCAATAAAGAAGAGAAGACAGTGATCTCAAAATCATCTTTAAATGCTGGCTGTGATAGATAAGGTGGGAGTGCTGAATCGCTCCTCTGTCTCACAGTCCAGAGGAAGAGAATCTGGTGAGACGGTGGAAGGAATGTAGACAAAACCGTAAGAGTATCGTGGAAAAGTCTGAACTGCCTCAGGTATCTGCACGACTAGAGTTCTAAAAAAATTTTGTCCTCCTTTTCAAGGCCCTACTTAACTCTTCCCTTCCAATTGCCAAACCTTCTGTCTCTTATAGTGTAATTGCTCCACCTTTCTCTACCAAGGACGCTAGTCTGCATAGCCCATTCACCTGTTTCTCCCATAAGCATCACTTGGTGGGGACAGGGAGTATGCCATTCCCTATGTATGGAATCATCTTCCTTCTCTGGTCCATTAGCCTCTCTCATTTTAAATCTCTCTTGAAAGCTCGACTCTACGGTGCTCACAATCACTGAGGCATATGTGGTTTAAAAAAAACATCAGAATGTGCATATGTGTAAACTGAATATATGCACGATGGCATTACTGTAACCATCATCCGACCTACCCAATTACTTTTTGGTGTGTCACTCTCACCTGTGCTACATCTAAAACTCAAGATTGTAAACTCCTGGAGGTAAGGATGGTGTCTTTTGTAAATAAACTCTTGGGAGTAGTAAGACACATATATCTAGAGTTCTTGTTCTTTCAGATAAGAACAGCCATACTGGGTCACACCAATGATCCATGTAGCCCACTGTCCTGTCTTCCAACAGTGGCCAATTCCAGATGCTTCAGAGGAAATGAACACAACAAGGCAATTATTGAGTGATCCATCCCATCATCCACTCCCAGCTTCTGGCAGTCAGAGGCTTAGGGACACCGAGAGCATGGGGTTGCATCCTTGACATTCTTAAGTAATAGCCATTGATGGATCTATCCTCCATGAACTTATCTAATGCTTTTTTGAACCCAGTTATACTTTGGTCTTCACAATATCCCCTGGCAATGAGTTCCACAGGTTGACTGTGCATTTTGTGAAGAAGTACTTCCTTTTGTTTGTTTTAAACCTGCTGCCTATTAATTTCTTAGGGTGACTCCTGGTTCTTGTGTTACGTGGAAGGGTAAAAAACACTTTCTTATTCACTTTCTCCATAACATTGATGATTTTATAGACCTCTATTACATGCCCCCTTAGTCATCTCTTTTCCAACATGAATATTCTTTTTACTCTCTCCTCATAAGGAAGCTGTTCCATAGCCCATCTTTTTTGTTGCCATTCTCTGTCCCTTTTCCAATTCTAATATATCTTATTTTGAGATGGAGCGACCAGAACTGCATGCAGTATTCAATGTTTGGGCACACCATGGATTTATATAGTGGCATTATGATATTTTCTGTCTTATTATCTATCCATTTCCTAATGGTTCTTAACATTGTTAGCTTTTTTGACTGCCACTGCACATTGAGCAGATGTTTTCAGAAAACTATCCACAATGATTTTAAGATCTCTTTCTTGAGTGGTAACAGCTAATATAGATCCCATCATTTTCCATGTATAGTTGGGATTATGTTTTCCAATGTGCACTACTTTGCATTTATCAGCATTGAATTATATTTGCCATTTTGTTTCCAAGTCAGTCAGTTTTATGAGATCCCTTTGGAACTCTGCAGTAAAAAGTAAAATAAGAGGTTAGAGACAAACGGCATCCTTTAAAAATTGGAAGACAGCAGACAAAGGGTAGGAATAAGTGGTCAGTTTTCAGAATGGAGAAAGGTAAACAGTGGTGTCACCCAGGGATGGTTTCGCACACTTAAATAGGGGAGACACAAAATATTCATATAAAAACCTGAAGTGACAGATGAACACCAAAGTATAACCCACAGGAAGGTGAACAAAAGTGGAATCTGAGAAACCAAGTAAGGTGAAAGGGATCACACAGTGAACACTGGAAAGTAAGATAGATGATATTCTTGCTTAATATGACATGAAATATGACTGGGTCACTACACAAAACTCTCTCCCTTCCCAAAAAGAGCTGACTTCAAAGCTACCCAGGCCTGGACTATGGAATATATGTGAAAAGCTCCACAGCTTTTTGAGTCCAAACTACTTAACTTAAAATTGGTCTTCAAATAAATGCCTGTTTAGTCAGAACTTAAAGGAAACATCTCCAATCTAGCAAACTATAACCACTGGTTACCACTTAACTGGGATAAGCAATTTAATGTCTCTAATATGTTTCCAAATAAAAAAAAAAAAGGGGGAACATTTCCATACTTCTTCCAAGTTGCTCTTTTCAACCAACTTCCATCTGAGTCGTGCCTTTACATTTTTCAAAGTCTTCTTAATTGAGAACAAATTGTCAATGTTGGGGCTTTTATTCAACCATTCCGCAATCTGCTTTTTAAACTAAGTTTAAAAAATGAAATAGTTAGTGAATGTATTTACATACATGTCCTAATACATTTAGAAAAGACTGGCTGAAGTCTACTATTTAATTTAGTTTTTGTAGGATAGATTACTACTTGCCTATAGGAGCAGGCTTCTTTACAAGTACAATCTTAAAATCATCTTTCAGGAAAAAGTCATCTACCAACAGTCTCCTTAAAGTTATACTTCATGAATTTTTAAAAAGAGTTTGTAGACTCAGATCTTAAGTTACTTATTTATAAAAAGCATTTCTAAATTTTAAGTTAAGAATAGGAGACCAGCAGTTCTTATTTCCAAAATAAAAAGCAAATTACCACCAGAACCAGACACACATAATCTTCAATATAAAAAGAAATGTTAAAGAACACCCTAAAAAAGAAATGAGTTCAGAAAATATCGAACAGTGTGATAGACAAGCAGGTAAAGGGGTAAACTGACCTCAACACTGGTTAAATACTTGCTCTGTACTACAGTGATTAGATGTTGCTCCTGACAGATCTTCTGTATAACTTTATTGTAAGCATTTAAGATTATTTCCTTATCTGCCTCATCTTGCGCCTGGGTAGAATTACACATAAGAAGTAGATAAAAGGCTTGCAGTTATTCTCAATTTGTAAGTGTCAACATCTAAGATATAAAATTCTACTGAAAATACCAATGTTAATGGAATGGCTCGAATGTCAGATTTTTATCTCTTTTCTTGAGGAGACTGGAAATGGAAAGTTCACAAGTCTTACAAGTTCACCAAAGAGTTGCAGTAAAATAAAGACTGATTGGCATTTCCATACAAAAGCTTCATTTTTGTCATGTTATATTTTGTACTGTATAAGAAAGCCTAACAGCTTAGTTTTTATGGATACTAAATGTCAAGATGTGCATCATCTTCACCTCTAAAAAGCAAGTCACCTGCTCTGTTGCAGACTGCAGTCAAAGTAAGTGTTGACTGAACTGATGTTCTAGTAGCATTATGTTATCAAGAGACTGATTCAATTTCTGTTCCTGGCTGTTTCTCTTTGGTACAGCAGGGACTTGTACTGTTGAGACAGTGCAAGGAGTTCAGAGAAGAATTATCAAAATGAAGAGAATGGGGCAATCCTCTTTATCATGAAAGACAAATAAGTGAAGTGATAAAACTAGGCTGAACATCAGAAAACATTTCCTAATCAGAGCAGAATGGAGTAAGTCTTTAAGGAGAGGTGGTGGAAACCATTTAAGACTGGACAAAGCACTGGAGAATATACTGTAGTAAGAGCTAGCATGGAAACAGGCTAAATTATCTAAATTACTACAATACTTAACGCACTTAACATTTTCAGAGCACACTTACATTAAACTTAACAACAGCATTCTGAAGTATTATTCCCATTATACAGATGGGGCACTGATTTTCACAAGGCAATGCAGCAAGCTAGAGATAGAGCTGAGATTACAACTCAGGAATTCCTAGTTCCCACTCCTATGCTCAGGCCACTGTACAATGCTGGCACTTACATCACCAGAGGACAACCTATGTAACACTTAATACGCCTTCTCCACCTCATTTCTGTGAAAAAGATACTGCCTAAGTTGCAATGATTAATAGCAACCCATACATAAATTAAAAGTTGTAACTGGGATCAGAGTTGTGTAAAACATTCAGAAGTACGCACAAATAGAGATAAGAACTTACAACTAGAGAAATCTCCAGCTCTTTGCAGATATCTGACTCAACCTTCTCAAGAACTTCATCCACGTTACCAACCACTTCTTCTGACTTCAAAGATACTTCTGATGTCAGGTCAAAAAACTTGAGGGGAAAGAGAACTGAATGCTATAATTACAAGTTAATGCACAATACCAGCAAAGAATTAGTACTTCCTATTAAAACAGGGCTTCAGCACAAATGCCAAATGCTTCTGGAAATCAGGCCATCAGAGTCTAATGCCAGGTTCTTATTGGCTGATTGAGACTTGTAGCTGATACAACTCCTAGAAAATGTACACCATAGACTGTGCCTCATCACTAGAAAAGAAATGTAAACTGAATCCTGCCTCCCTCCGGTTCTTTCTCCCAACCTCATCCCGATTTTATCTAAATTACAAACTAAAACTAATGTAAGTGGCAGAGGAATCACAAATCCATCACCTGTTGAGTCTCTGATGTTGAAAACAACATATTTTCTCACTCACACAATGAAACAGAAAATGACCAAAACAAAACTGGTAGGTTAATCCAGTGGTTCTCAACCAGGGGTATGCATGCCCCTGGGTGTAAGCAGAGGTCTTCCGGCAGGTACATCAATTCATCTAGATATTTGCCTAGTTTTACAACAGGCTACATGAAAAGCACAAGTGAAGTCAGTACAAACTAAAATTTCATACAATTTATTTTTACTGCCCTAGATACTATATCAGATTTTCTCAACCTGAGGGTCAAAATGTACTTTATAATCATATGGTAAAAATGAGAAAGTAAGCAATATTTCAGTGCTAGTGTGCTGTGACACTTTTGTATTTTTATGTCTGATTTTGTAAGCAAATAGTTTTTAAGTGAGGTGAAACTTGGGGGTACAAAAGGCAAATCAGTTTCCTGAAAGGGGTACAGTAGTCTGGAAAACCACTGGGTTAAACAACCCTTTAGTTTCTCTGACAGAGCCTTTCATTTTGTGTTTTTAATCATCTTTCCAGAGAAAAATAAAGAGGATGTCTTCAGTTAAACCCATTCCCTTCCCCATCTTCATGTTTCTACACAGGCACTTTTAGGTTTCATTGTTGAGAAACCTTTTGACAACATCTAGTAATGCTTAAACAGCTGTTAGTTGGCTTCTCCCTCTGTAAAAATCCAAAAAAAAAAAAAAAAAGAGATAAAGCAACATCAAAGCTAAATTAAGCAATTTTTGCCACATGTGAAAAAAGGATAGTGGAGATATATTTGCAGGGGAGAGAGAGAGAGAAAAAGAAATATTTCTGAAGCTGTTAATTGCTCTAAGTTGCTGTAAGATTTTTTTTTTTTTAAAAAAGCTCCAACAGCAAAAAGCACTTCAGAGCCTTTGGTGCAAAGTGGCCAAAGATGCTTGTTTCTGCCTCATGCTTAACAAAACACAAGTTTTGTACCAATAGCCCAGGAATGCACACCTTGCTCTTGCATAGTGCTTAACTGTAAGTGAAATGGACACGTGGATAGCTGATGTATTCTATTACCCAGACCTTTCATTACAGAAACAAAGGCTGTAATCAGAGCTTGCTTGGTTACTGAACTCAGTGTGGTGAAACTGAGCTTAGCGCAGCTTTTTCCATGCACTATCACCACAGGATTAAAACGTTTTCACTAACAAATTAGCCCAGTGGTTCTCAACCAGGAGTAAACATACCCGTGGGGGAACACAGAGATCTTCCAGGGAGTACATCAACTCATTTAGATATTTGCTAGTTTTAACAACAGGAAACATAAACAGCACTAGCGAAGACAGTACAAACTAAAATTTAATACAGGCAAAATAAGAAAGTAAGCAATTTCAGTAATAGTGCGCTGTGACACTTTTATATTTTTAGGTCCGATTTTGTAAGCAAGTCGTTTTTAAGTGAAGTGAACTAAGCAGCTGAACCATTTTAATGAAAAATAAGAAGCAGATTGTGCACAAATGTATTTTGGGGTCCATGTTACATTTTAACAGCTGGTGGATCGGGGTGTGGGGGAATGAAAAGAGCTGCATACTTCCAAAATTAAAACGTTCTAGTGAGCCCTGAGGTAAAGGAGCTCTCGAGGTGTTATTCCGAAATAGGAGGAATTCTGTACTTCCTACACCGAAGGCTGTTCCAGAGATCACAGTAAAGGAGCACACAAGTGACTGGTTTGTTGTGCTATATGAACTCCTAGATGTGCACAACATGAAGCACAGGCTTTTCCTGCAAAGGAAACAATTTAACTTGCCCCTGAGCATGAAGTTTAGGGTGCCATAGAGCAGAGAATAAATCAATGGAGCAAGATTAGCCTGTGGCTACACCAAATATTAACTGCAATGCCAAATATTTTAGATAAATAGCTTTCTCTCTCATTGTGCATGTAGGAGTATTAAATTAACAGCAGCGACCACACTAACATGGGAATCTGATCTCTGTAATTAATACACAGCATATGCACCAGAGATACAAAGCTATACTACATACTTGCCCTATTCAGATTCATTCAATCAACCATCTCATAACAGTGTATATTCAGTATAACTGCAGATCTTGAAAATGTGTTATTGCTTTAATTTTAAGAACTTCACAAAATAAAAAGCTAAAATTATAGTAGGTATGTAACAAAATTATAGTAGGTATGTAACAATGCAGGCCTGAAGAACACATTGGCTCAAAAAGTCAGGAGTAGTACATTTGAAAACGACCACCCAACCTCTGAAAATGATAGCTACAATGTCTCTGCTGTGGTCTGCCATTTTCATTGTAGGTTTCATAGAAACAGACATGGATTCTGAAAGTGATCAGGAACAGCCAGCATGGATTCACCAAGGGAAGGTCATGCCTGACTAATCTAATCGCCTTTTATGATGAGATTACTGGTTCTGTGGATGAAGGGAAAGCAGTGGATGTATTGTTTCTTGACTTTAGCAAAGCTTTTGACACGGTCTCCCACAGTATTCTTGTCAGCAAGTTAAGGAAGTATGGGCTGGATGAATGCACTATAAGGTGGGTAGAAAGCTGGCTAGATTGTCGGGCTCAACGGATAGTGATCAATGGCTCCATGTCTAGTTGGCAGCCGGTATCAAGTGGAGTGCCCCAAGGGTCGGTCCTGGGGCCGGTTTTGTTCAATATCTTCATAAATGATCTGGAGGATGGTGTGGATTGCACTCTCAGCAAATTTGCAGATGATACTAAACTGGGAGGAGTGGTAGATACGCTGGAGGGGAGGGATAGGATACAGAAGGACCTAGACAAATTGGAGGATTGGGCCAAAAGAAATCTGATGAGGTTCAATAAGGATAAGTGCAGGGTCCTGCACTTAGGACGGAAGAACCCAATGCACAGCTACAGACTAGGGACCGAATGGCTAGGCAGCAGTTCTGCGGAAAAGGACCTAGGGGTGACAGTGGACGAGAAGCTGGATATGAGTCAGCAGTGTGCCCTTGTTGCCAAGAAGGCCAATGGCATTTTGGGATGTATAAGTAGGGGCATAGCGAGCAGATCGAGGGACGTGATCGTTCCCCTCTATTCGACATTGGTGAGGCCTCATCTGGAGTACTGTGTCCAGTTTTGGGCCCCACACTTCAAGAAGGATGTGGATAAATTGGAGAGAGTCCAGCGAAGGGCAACAAAAATGATTAGGGGTCTGGAACACATGAGTTATGAGGAGAGGCTGAGGGAGCTGGGATTGTTTAGCCTGCAGAAGAGAAGAATGAGGGGGAATTTGATAACTGCTTTCAACTACCTGAAAGGGGGTTCCAAAGAGGATGGCTCTAGACTGTTCTCAATGGTAGCAGATGACAGAACGAGGAGTAATGGTCTCAAGTTGCAGTGGGGGAGGTTTAGATTGGATATTAGGAAAAACTTTTTCACTAAGAGGGTGGTGAAACACTGGAATGCGTTACCTAGGGAGGTGGTAGAATCTCCTTCCTTAGAGGTTTTTAAGGTCAGGCTTGACAAAGCCCTGGCTGGGATGATTTAACTGGGAATTCGTCCTGCTTCAAGCAGGGGGTTGGACTAGATGACCTTCTGGGGTCCCTTCCAACCCTGATATTCTATGATTCTATGATTCTATATTCAAGAATGGATTTGCAGTGAAAGTAGTAAACATTTGAAGGAACTTAAAAAACAAAACAAAAACAAAAATTAAAATAGTTTCTCTGTCCAGTTTGGTCACCCTTTTTTCACAAAAACAGGAACTGTAATATCCAGCCAGTTGCAATGGAGAAATCTTGGAATCGCATCTGAAGCTGATGAAAGGTTTAGGGGCTGAAAGCTCCCTCCCCCATCCAAAACCACAGCTACATCAATCTGGAAATTCCCCAACTCCCTGGACTATTTTCAGAGTTTATATTTGAATGAATGCATCAGCTTGTGCCGTCACACCAGCACACAAAAATACCCCTTGGCAATATTACTATTTTGGATCACACATAATATCAGTCACGTAACTAAAACTGCTTTAACTGTAACTGTGTTTCTAAGGTCTGGTACACTTGAACTGCAACTCAACACAGTTGTGAATAATTATGTCAACTGACATCATGCTGAATGCAGCCCACTCCAGTCTATACTGACTACCAAAAAAGCATTCACCATGTCAGGTAACCCAACTGTTCACAGCAGTACTTAGGTGTAGTAAAATACTATAGTGTGGAGTAGGCCTAAGTGGCTGAAACTATTAATGGTTAATAAATGGCTCACCTTCATAATATTCTCCTTCCTCATCCAAGCAGACTGCGTTTTTCACTTTTAAATCATCCTTGGAAGTTCAGGTCATTTTTATTGTCTTAGTCTTACCTCTCCCTGGCCCCAAACCATTGTCCAACTGCTCCTAAGAAGCAGTTGTCTTCAGGCAGCCACTGCCTGACACCTTCCAGACTAACGGAGTATGTCTACACAGCAATTAAATATCCACAGCTGACCAGAGTCAGCTGACTGGCTCATAGGGCTCAGGCTGCAGGGCCGTTTAATTGTGATGCACATGTTCGGACTCAAGCTGGAGCCCAGGCTCTGGCACCCTTTTCTCTCATGGGGTCCAGAACTCAGGCTCCAGTTAGAGCCTGAATGTCTACACAGCAATTTTACAGCCTGAGTCCTGCAAGCCGGGCCAGCCACAGGCATTTAGTGGCTGTGTAGATATATCCAAAAGGCTGCTCCACAATATTATTGACTAGTTCCCAAAGAGCTTAAAAGAAAATGCTGCAACAGCACCATTCAGCAGCATCTTCTAAACCTCTACGGCACCCACTACCACAATTCAACAAGGAAAATAAACCTGACTGCCAGTAAAACAAAATAGCGCTCTATTTCTGGTATGCACTTAAAGCACATCATCTTGTATCAGCAGTGCAAGGGTCAGTATTCTGATCTGGCAAAGTTCTAAAGAGGATTCTCTGATTTCTTTTGGGGGTGGAGAAGGAAGGGGAGGTAACTGAACCCTACCCAATGTACTGTGAGTAAACTGCTGGATATAGACTAAGCACTGTTGTAAGAAGCTATAAGATAGCATTAAAACAGCACATCAGCTCAGGAACAATACTACGTAAAAATAGAATACCAAACAACCTTCCAATTTGAATTAATTCCTCCATCTAACATTCAAGGCAAGAAAAAGGTAATCTGTACCTAGAGCATTTTAAAATCACAAACAGCCTGTTCTTTTATTTGGTAATCCTTGTTTTTGTTTCTCTCTCCTCAGACTATTTCAGCACCGATGTTTGATTAGATTCCTTTAATTTACCCTCAAGTCTTTAGTTCAAAAGTAGTATGAAAGGAGCAATGAGGATGTTTTTGTTTAATCATCAGAAAAGTCTGAACAGATTATTTTAATGCACTGAGCAGTTCTTTCTCCCCCCATGATATGCTTATATTAGGTCAGACCAGGAAAACACTTAACTGAACCACAAAACATGTCCTCTAACCCAAGAGCATGCATTTGTATTTTGTACCAGCTGACTCCAATACGTATTAGGTACTGAGCTAAAATAGTAATCTGGTCCTCAGTGAGTGCTGTCCTTTTTGCACTGAAACACTGGCAGCAAATCACACTCTTCATAAGTACAACTATGGAAATTTGTATTTAGCTCTCCCGTAATGTCAGCCTATCAGGCACAAACATCTATTGCACAAGATTACTGTCTGCATGCAGAACTGTCTTTTTCACATACATTACAGGATAGAAGTAAAGTCTGTTCTACCTTTATCATGCCACTGAACCATGTTGCAAGAATCTGTAGGGAAGCATTTGTACCACTTCTGACACGACTGAATTCTTCCAGTTTAGTTTGCTTCCACTCAAAAAACTGCTGAAATGCCTCCTCAGAGTCATCTGCTTCACTAGCTTGACCATATACTGCCTCCAGAGAAGCAGACAGTTCCTGTACAGGGTAAGCAACAACAACAAAAAAAAAACAGCAGGTATGCAAACAGAAAAGAACTCGATGGACGTCCTATAAATAGGCCGTTAAAAGACATTTAATGTATGATCACAAATGAAAGAATTAAGCTTGTGTGCTGACTCACTACAGCACTTTTCACTTCTGAAAATCTAGACCCACACCCTATTCAAGTCGCAAATTACACTATTATTTACTACTAAGTGTGTAGTCTCCTCCTTTCCTCTCAGAACTGGCTGTGCTATGTCTCTCACCTGCCAGAGGTAAGATGTCAAAAAGTCTGTGAATCATGGTGGCATCTACATAACCAGGCTCCTGCCTTTCCAATCAAGCACTTTCAGACATATCTAATAGCATACAAAAGACAGGCGAGAGGAAAGAAGGATTCAGAAGGTGGGGGGAGGGGGCGGGTCAGAGAAGAGACTACAATAAAGTAATTTTCCCTTTCTCAAATCTCTTCTTCCCTGAGACCAAGAACTGGATGTGGATGTGACCAATAGTACTAAGAAAAAAGGAGCTCACCTTAGATTGCTCCCTACAGAGCGGTCCAAATGCAGAGAACAAGTGGGTCGTGAGATGTGTCAACCACATAACAGCTCTGACATTCTAAACTGATGCCAGGAGACACAGGTCTCTAGTCAAATCTCTCCTGAGCTCTTTTGGTCATAATCTAAGAGAACAATCCCACACAGAAACTGCAGTATCTGAGGCGCCTACCCCGTGCATTTTCAAGACCCTAATAAACAGGGCTTTTCCAATCCTGAAACTTCCAGTTCAATCTAAATACAACATAAATACTTGAAACGTGGAGTTTCCCTCCGTATATGGAACTTGGGGGGGACGGGGAGACGACTAAGTCAGCATGAAAGAGATGGTTTTCAGGCCAAAGCTTAGGGAGCAAACCCACACTTTTAAATAAAAAAGATCTGACAAATAAATTGAAGAAAATGCTAGGTCAATTCTCCGCTGATACATCCTGGCAAAAAGCTATTTTCTGAACCTAGGGTTGTGCACCTAGATAAGAAGTTCCATGCTGGGGAATATTTGTGCGTTCCTTTCTGATGATGGCATTTGATTTTCTCTGACCAAAAGATAAAGTGCTCCCCGAAAAAGGGGATTTGAATGGCTGACAGTATTTTTTGTGCTAAACACCTTCCCATCAGCTTGCAAGCTCCTACCATGAGCTCTAAAGGTGGTGAACTGCTGATTTTACTTGTCTAGATTGTCCCTGCATCAAAAGGACTTAATATAACCATGAGAGAATGAGGCTGAAAGGCTTGCTTGATGCAGGGTGTTTTGGAAACTGAGACAATGGGTTTTCCTAGGCCTCAAAATGCTCAGGTTATATTACCAAGGCCTTCTCCAAAGAGTTCAGCTCCTTTAAAAAGAATCTGGCAGCAAGCTTTCTCTCTGCAGGTAGGTCATCCTTCTAGTCCCAGAGCTAAACTCGCCTGCAGCCAAGCTTGGAGACACCAACAGAGCTGACGGCCAACTGGGCACTACCAAAAATGACATTACACAAGAACTATGTCACTTGCCTGGAGTCTTCCAATGTCCACTTGATCACTTCTGTGGCCCTGACAGTCAGCTCTGTGACCCAGTTGCTAAGACCAGACTGCAGCACTCGAGCGATCAATGCTAAATGGTGACAACCAGGACAGCAAGGAGAGCAAATGCAAATCTGGCCCAGATTCTCTATGGATGAATAGCATCACTGGTGTGATGAGAAAGTAGGCAGAGCAGATTTAGAGGCGATACCCACTACTTTGACCTTAAGGTCAGAGAAATACTTATTGGCCACTTGGGGAGAAGTAAGACACTTACCAACAGTGACAACCTTGCAGAAAGGGAACACTATGGGGAACAGTACAGCATCTCTTAGAGATGGCTGTTTTCCTCCAAAGATGCTAATATCCTAGCAATAAGAGCTTCTGCTTGATCAGAGGCATAGTACTTCATACTGCCACCCCAACTCTCCCACTAACACGGCTCCAGCAAGCTGTCCTCTTCCAGGATTCAAAGAGGCATGCCAACAGGGTCTCTCCACAAGAATCAGGGAGCAAGAGGGACTGGAGCATCAAGAGGGCGGGAAAGGGGAAATTGATGAGGGAGCACAGATAGGAGTCTTAAAACTGGGACTGAGGAAAGAGGGATGAAGCACTGAACTCAGAAAGTTGTTGTATGCTGAAGGAGATTCCCTTGGCTGACTGATGATCCGTCCCATACAATGTAAACCGACTACAGTCAGAACAACCCCCCACACATACACACATTGCCGTGGATGCAAACAATGGAGAAAGCAGGCAAAGAACCCACTGTGGATGAAGAAATGCATGGATCTGTATGAAGCCAGAAGAGGCTGGCTCTGCACCTGCTCAGTAAAGGGGTCGGGTACCCTTGGCAGAACCCAAGGCTATCACAACAAAGGGCCCAATGGCACAACAGGAACCACAGGAAAGGGCAACCTGTATAAGACTTCCTGCTGTAGCAGAAAACTTAGGCAGCTGCCTGCCATTATACGTTTCCAAGTGGCAGAAGTCACTAAGAGGTTCCCCTAGCTCAATGGTCACCAAACTGTGTGGCATGCCCCCTTAGGAGGCATGGAGGAACTTTCAAGGCCGAGGTGCCCAGACCAGCTCCACCCCCAGCCACAGCTCCACTCTGCCCCCAGCCACAGTTCTGCCCTCATTCCCTCTCTACCCCCAGGCCAGCTCCACCTCTAGCCCCAGTTTCTCCCCCAAGCCCAGTTTCACCCAAACTCCTCTGCTGAGCCAACTGTGCAGTAATGGAGGGGGGATGCAGCCAGATTCCATTACTGGTAAGAGGGGAGTGTGACAGGAAAAGTTTGGTACCACTACCCTCGCTGCTGACAGAGCAAGCTGGAGAGAAACCAGGGTAGAGGCATGTATGTACCTGATCCAGACCTCCCTCTTAGGAATAAGCTGCTACATGAGATGGGGGTGGAAAGGAGCCCAAGATCACCAGAAGCTATAGAGAACAGAGGAGCCTATAGCTAAAGTTCTCCCATCACACCAGTGATAGCTGAGGACAGGCAGAGGCGAAGCCTGGGCTCCGCCCCCCCCCCACACACACACACAGGGTGGCAATATTAGAGGCCTTACCCAAACGTAGCAGAGGTGATCCATGCCACTGGTGAATGGAAAGAGGCAGCAGCATGGGAAGAAGATTATTCCTAGGGGGAGTCTCAGCCAGTGCCTCAGACCTGGATTTAGCTATAGGCAAACTATCCCCTCCAATTATCTTTCATAACATAGTTGTCTCTTAACTGTCCTTCATAGATCAGAAGGTTGAAGCATCACCTATACATTCAGGAGGTAAAAAAAAAGACTGAAGAGGAAGGAGACTAGCCGGGTACCCTTCCCTGAATAACAGCCTTTTTTGACTCCTTACCTTCTTGCAGGTGTAGATCACACAATTCTGATTGGTTGATCATGTCCAGTTCCCCAATGATTTTGGAAACAATAATATATACTAACATTGCTACAACATAACTTACAAGGTTAACGTACCAGATGTAAATCTTTGTTGAATGCACAAGATACGATAACATATAATACTGTAATACAAAAAAAAATTATGCAACAGGATGGCTGAGAATTTAGATATACAAGAGACAGAAAATACTTATTCCAACAACTAGAATAGCCTCATTACATGTACCTAGCATTGTATAGGATTATATTTTTACAATTAGACTCTTATACTGTAAATGTGCAGCATAACAGATTTCTAGCTGTGGTAGGGACTGTAAATAAACTTCCCAACATTAAAACATGCAACACTGCTACAGTCTGGGACACTGAATTTATTTTGTTATTTAAAAGTGTGCCTGACCACTGTGATAGTAGTGAATAAGATTCACGCAAGCATAACAGATGGTTTTCTACTACTTCATTCTAAACCAGACCTCTTCAAATATGCAAAATATGCTTTTCTTAACTAAGGGGTAGGTCTATGACAAGTTTATAGCAGCCATTTGAATTATTTGAATACACAAAAGTCATCTGAAGAATTTCTGCCTGATGAAAACCCTTTTTTACACTTTCTCAAGAACAGCTGGACAAGAATTTACCACAATTTATTTTGTGCACAGGGGTTGGTGAAGAGATTGGAGAAGTAACCTCTGGGTTGAGAGCAGACAGAAACAAGACAGACATTTCATCTGGAAAAGAAAATTAATTTCAGAGTGCTACTTAGCACCTGAAAACAGGTCTGTGTAACAACATACTTTCTGAACTGAAATAGTTTTATTGCAATATTATTCCCAAACCTGTAATAAATACGTCTGGAACTAGTCACACTGAAAAACTAGTTAGAAGAAATAATCTGTATGAGGAATCAGGCTATCAAGGAAAACTTTCCTGTTAAAATCCTGTAAATTGAATCCTATTTCTTCATAACTGCTCTTACTGAGTAAACACAGTAACTGAAAACCCAAGCAGCTATGTGTTAGACTAGTCTATAACGAAGGCAGTGTTAGCATTTGGAAGTATTATTTTAGTCTTTCACCCTCCGTTTTCCAATACTAGTTGAGTCTGTCAGCAGAGTTATCTTAAAGAACAAGAAAAAAGTTTATTTTGTTGAACACAACTAATAGGAGAAGGTCTGAATGCACTCAACATTCAAAACACTATTAACTATCTGAAAAAAAATCTCGCTGCAATTCTATTCTGGTGCAGCATCTAAAAAATGTTTAAAGACTACCACCTAGTGGAGCTAAAGAAGCACAATCTTGTAATGCAGCTAGGAAAATAATCAGTTTTATTCTAATTTGAAACTATTAGATCAAGACATTTCATTCTTTCCAATGATGCCAGACCCAGATAATCTCTTTATATGACTTCATTTTCTAGTGAATCAAGAACATCCAGTTCTGCAGTAGAGCAGCAGAATCAGAAAAACAAGTATTTTTAGATATAACTGTACTTCTGAATGCACTATTTAAAAACACTCCCAATTCAAATGTTTTCAACTAATGCTAATTTTTATTGACATGTTGATCAGATCCGTGCCAGACTTGAACAGGTTGGCCGAAGTTTGGGTTCTCATTTCTTTGCATGTACTCAGATGACTCATTGTTACTATGATCTTGAGTGGTACAGCTTAATGAAGAAGAATGTATATTTGCTTGTCATTATTCACTACAATAAAGTTTCTTCATTAAAAATCCCTCAAACATACTGAAATGTTGGTTATAAAAGAATTTTTTGCAAATGTAAAACTTAGTCACATTTTCAAGTGTGTCTATCACAACAGAGTAAAAAAGGAAAAAATGGGGGAAAAAAGTATTGCAGATGTGCCCTAGGTGGCCATGAGCTAATATACAATACTAGCACTCACTTTCACAGGCCAGGTTTCGAAGCCATCATGTGTTACAGGGGAACTGAGCTTGATCATCACAACTTATTTCTTCTTGATTGACATTCATTCACACATGATGTGAAAAGTAGCACACACATTACGGTTTGTCTGCCCCAGAAAAGACAACCCATTGCTAACCACTCTTCCCCACTTCAAATGGTGTTGAGAACATTCTAGCTGCTAACAGAGATCAGACAAAATTGTTACAGAAAGCATGACTGAGATAGCATGACTGAAGCCAAGTTTCGCTGGGTTTCTGTGAATGTGCTGAACACTGGTTTGCTCTGCCTAAACCCTTTTCAACACCAGATGAAGAGTTCCTGGGGTTTACAGGGACACACTGCTTACAAACAATCAGCAATTGGTCATTTTCCTAATGGTTTATGGGTCAGAACAGTAAACTGTTAAAGGCTGAGGCTTAATACAGAGATGAAAAGTGTTTAATGATTTTGGATTATAGCAATTCTTAGTTTTCACATTCTTTTGTCTTCAAATGAAAGAACTCCACAAACAGGAATACAGGTTTGATATCATTTTTCAGTGCTGAACTGTTTTTGAATATTTTAAAATATGTCTGTATATGGTTTTAAGTAATTTCCCACTACCTTCCCCATTTTCCATGTGGAAAAAAAAACAACACTATAGGGAACCTCAGCATATACACTGTAAAAGTACAGGACTAATTACATATTTTGAACAAAAATGACTAGAACTTTTTAAAAGTGTATTGCAAGTTGCTGTGATTACTGAGTAAATCAAATTATAGAGATAATTTAGCAGAAAGGTGTAGAAAAAGTTGTACTGCCTAGCCATGTAATACACTAAGCTCAATTTATTGATGTTGAAACCTCCAATTCTACCACACTGAACTTCAAAAAAAATTGAAGAGCAGATTAGAGGTGTTTAATAATAATAGCAAGAAGTTTCTTTCCAACCTGCAAAATAGTTGAACGCTCAGAGAGAGGTAGCTCTTCTACTTCCCGAATGAATTCTTCCACTGCAGAGTACAAATTCTGTTGCACTTCATTTCTCTTGAGAATTAAGACATCACTTTCATTCTATTTAGAAGAAACAGCAGTCAGAGATCACTTCTAAACTCCTTGCAAGCACAACATAAAAAGAAATGATATCAAGATATTTTCCTTCAGATTCCTTATGAAGTAAAATTGCTTCCTGTTTATAAAAAGTGAGCTTAACTAGTTAGGTTACAATGCATCACACTAGAATAGGAATGAGTGACACATGAAATTACAGGCTTTAGGCACTATTTCAGGGGATCAGCAATCCTGTTATATCCACCGCTGGAAATGCTGTATCCATCACATCTAAGCATGCCTACAATACAACCTAGTAGAGTACAAACACAGTGGTTGATTTCCGTATGATTGAGTTCATACCTGGTGGATTTTGATTGCTATTGCAAACATCTAACATGTACAAGTTTTCTTTTGGATTATTTATATTACAGTGGTACTGAGAGATCCCTTTCAATGATTAGGGGTTCCATTTGACTAGATGTAGTACACACATTTACTATGTCAGTCCTTGCTCCAAAAAATTTACAACATAGGAATATTTAGAAACTGTCTTGTGACTGTGGAACGTAGAATATTGCAATTCCACAGTTTTACCTCAGCTTTCTCTGACCCACCTTTCTAGTAGAGTGAGAAGAAAAAACAGTTACTAACCTTTCCATAACTGTTGTTCTTCAAGACGTGTTGCCCACGTCTGTTCCATGTTAGGTGTGTGCATGCCACATACACTATTGCCAGGGAGTTTTCCCTTAGTGGTATCAATCACACCAGCTCTAGTGCCCTCTGGAGCCGCATGAGCATGCGTCAGTATAAAGGGTGGTGCCAGCCACTCACCCTCTCAGTTCCTTCTTGCCGTTAACGCTGACAGAAGAGTAGGAGGGTTGGTTGTGGTATGGACATGAGCAACACATCTTGAAGAACATCAGTTCAAAAAGGTTAGTAACCGTGTTTTCTTCAAGTGCTTGCTCATGTTCATTCCATGTTAGATGACTCTCAAACAGTACCCCAGAAGGTGGGCTCAGAGTTCATGGACATGCTGACAGCAACACTGCTCTCCCGAAACTGGCATCGTTCTGGGCCTGTCGGGTAATGGCATAGTGAAATGCAAAGGTATGCACAGATGACCAAGTTGTGGCCCTACAGATGTCCTGGATTGGGACCTGTGCGAGGAACGCTACTGACGAAGCCTGGGCTCTTGTGGAGTGAGTGTTTAAGATGGATGGAGGCGGGACATTCGCTTGCATGTAGCAGGCCAAAATACCTGCAGTTATTCAGGACAACATCACACGGAACCCCCTCATCCTTTTCGCAATTGAGACGAAGAACTGTGTTGATTTGCAGAAGTGTTTAGTCCTCTCAATATAAAAGGTGAGGGCACGCCTAACGTCTAGTGAGTGAAGCCTCTGTTCTTCAGAGTTCTTGTGAGGCTTCAGGAAGAAGACTGGTAGAAAAATGGCCAGACTGTTATGGAATTGTGACACCACCTTTCTAAAGAAGGCCAAGTGGGGGCCAAGTTGGACCTTGTCCTTGAATATCGTGTAAGGCAGTTCTGATGTCAGGGCCTTGATTTCAGAGACTCTTCTGGCCAAGGTGATCGCCACCAAGAAGGCATCCTTCCAAGAGAGAAACAGCAGGGGACATGATGCTAGCAGCTCAAAGGAGGGACCTGTGAGTCTCAACAAAACCAGGTTTAAGTCCCCTGGGGGGATATCGGCTCATGGATTTGAGAAGAGAGCCTCTCCAGCCCCTGTCACTTCATGGGAGAACAGTAATCTACTGTTCACCAGTGGGTGGAAGGCTGAGATGGCTGCTAACTGCACTTTGATAAGTAGAAGGGCTTGGCCCTCACATCTTAAGTGGAGCAAGTAGTTCAAGATAGACTGAAGGAAAGATTGAGACAGAGAGAGAGCTTGAGAGACTCCCATGTCAAGAAGAGTTTCCAATTAGTGAGATAGGAAGCCCTCGTGGACAGCTTTCTACTACCTAGCAAAATCTGCCGGACCTGTTCCAAGTAAGTCTGTTCTTCTGGATTCAGCCATGCAGCATCCATGCAATTAGGTGCAAGAAGGCAAGGTTCGGGTGAAGCAACCGGCTGTAGTCTTTGAGACTAGGTCTGGACAGAATGGGAGATAGAGTCAGGGCCGGCTCCAGCGTTTTTGCCGCCCCAAGCAGCAAAAAACAAACAAACAAAAAACCCACGATCAGCAGCACTTCGGCGGCAGCTCTACCACTGCTGCTTCTCTGAGGGGGACTGAGGGACCTGCCGCCAAAGAGCCGGACATGCCACCCCTTTCCGTTGGCCGCCCCAAGCACCTGCTTGCTGCGCTGGTGCCTGGAGCCGGCCCTGGATAGAGTGGAGCTGCTACTGACAGGTCCAAGAGTGTGTCGAACTAGTGTTGGCGTGGCCATGCTGGGGCTACCAGAGTAACTCTTGCCTTGTTTCGTTTGACTTTTAGAAGGACTTTGTGGACCCAAAGGATTGGAGGAAAGATGTACAATAGGAGATCTGCTTCCATGGGAGCAGGAAAGCGTCGGAGGGGGAGAATGGGCTGTGCCCATGTACCAAGCAAAACTGATGGCATTTCCTATTCTCTCTGGTAGCACACAGGTCCACCTGGGGAGGCCCCACCTTCAGAATATGAACCTGGTGACCTCCAGATGAAGGGACCACTCATGTCAAGAGGAAAAGGATCTGCTGATGTGATCTGCCTGTACATTCTGGGCTCCCAGGAGTTGGGACGCCTTGAGATGAATAGATTGCTTTGTGCAGAAGTCCCATAGACGGATAGCCTCCTGACACAGGGCTGAAGACTGGGCACCTCCCTCCCTTGGTGATATAGAAATGGCCACGGTACTGTCTGTCCAGTCTGTGAAAGAAACTTACTGAAACATCTCTAAGGATGAGATTTTATCTGTATTCAGTTTTTATTACTGTACTAGACTTAGACTGGCGTGTTTTATTTTATTTTGCTTGGTAATTCACTTTGTTCTGTCTGTTACTACTAGGAACCACTTAAATCCTACTTTCTGTATTTAATAAAATCACTTTTTACTTATTAATTAACCCAGAGTATGTATTAATACTTGGGGGGGGGCAAGCAGCTGTGCATCTCTCTCCACCAGTGTTATAGAGGGCGAACAATTTATGAGTTTACCCTGAAAAGCTTTATACAGGGTAAAATAGATTTATTTAGGGTTTGGACCCTATTGGGAGTTGGACATCTGAATGATAAAGACAGGCACACTACTGTAAACTGCTTTCAGTTAAGCCTACATCTGTTAGGGGACATGGCTCAGACCTGGGTCTGAGTTTGTAGCAGGCGGGTCTGGCTCAAACCAGGCAGGACTCTGAAGTCCTAAGTTGCTGGGCAGGAAAACAGGGGCAGAAGTAGTCTTGGAACATCAGGTGGCAGCTCCCAGGGGGTTTCTGTGATCCAACCCGTCACAACCACCCTAATAATATCTATTCTCTGAGCCGGAACAAGAGTTGACTTTTGTTAGTTCAGCAGCAACCCCAGCACTCGGAAGGTGGCTTGGACCGTGTTGTTGCTGTTCTGAATGTGAGTCTGTGACCAACCCTTGATCAGCCAGTCATCGAGCCTCGAGATACGAGCAGACTTGGATGCCTCACTGTTTGAGGAAGGCTGCTACTACCACTGCTTTACACTTCGTGAAGACCTGGGAGGCCACCAATAGGCCAAAAGGAAGAGCACTGAATTGATAGTGGCGCTAACCCACAACAAACCTGTGAAATCTTCTGTGGCCACAGAAGAGAGAAATGTAAAAGCATGCGTCCTTGAAGTCGAGGGAAGCATACCAGTCTCCTGGATCCAGGAAGGAAATGATGGAGGTCAGGGAGACCATGTGGAACCTCAGTTTCTTGAGATATTTCTTGAGGCAATGCAGGTCCAGAATAGGCCAGAGGCACCCTTTGGCCTTTGGGATTAGTAAATATTGGAAATAAAACCCCGTTCCTCTTGTGGAACCTCCTCCACAGTCTCCATTCATAGAAGGGATTGCACTTCCTGGACAAGGAGTTTCTCCTAAGAAGGGTCCCTGAAGAGGGATGGGGAAGGGATCTGAAATGGTGACTGGTATATCGCCCCCAGGTGCGCCTTCAAAAGGCCTGCATGGGCCCACCAGAGTACCTCTGAGACCCCAGCTGTGAGGTTGAGGTGGACGGGAGTGGTTGGCACTGCTTTTAACCTCTCCCTTTTCTTTGGTAGGCACCAAGAAATGAAGAGGCTGCTGGGGCCTGAAGTGCTTCCTGGAAGCTGATGGAGCATAAAGCCTAAGGATCGTAGGGTGGCCCTTGAGTCCTTCGGGCCCTGAAATCTTGTGTCTATCTGCTCCAAGAATACAGAGGAGCCTTTGAAGGGGAGGTCCTGGATGGGCTGTTGGACCTCATGAGGAAGCCCCGAGGACTGAAGTAACGAACAAGGCCTTACGGTGACAGTGGAGGCCACTGTCCTGGTTGCCAAGTTGCCTGCATCCAGCGCCACCTGCAGAGTGTCCTGGCCACATTCTTACCGTCTTCCAAGAGGGCAGCGAACTCCTTCCTTGAATCTTGAAGCAGAGAATCTTTAAATAATCACCAGGGAGTCCCACTATTATATATATATATATACTCCCCAGAAAAGCTTGCTGGTTAGAGATACATAGTTGAAGGTTACCTGTCGAAAACTCTCTCTCCTGAAAATGTCCAGTTTCTTGGTGTCTTTTTGTTTAGTGGTAGCGCTTGACTGGCCCTACCTATCCTTTTCATTTGCTGCAAACATAATCAGGCATGCTGGAGGGGGATGCAAGTACAAGCATTCAAATCCACTCACTGGGACATAATATTTTTTCTCTGCCCTCTGAGGTTGGGGGGCAGAGAAGAAGGAATTTGCCAGAGAGCCTTGACCAGTCTCATCACAGCCTTATTGATGGGTAAGGCCACCTTGGAGGGAGCTGCTGCAGCCAGGATATCAATAAGGCTGTGTGATGTCTCTTTAAGCTACTCAATTTCCAGACCCAAATTCCAA